TCCTCGGAGCTTGAGAGCGCATGTGACTGATGGCATGAAAAGTACGTTCCCCTTCAGGAACTCGAGCTGCGTCGAACGCTTTGGGAACGCCCTCGGCGAGACACCGTACTGAAGCCTGTGTGAAATCAGTCCAATAGCGAAGGAAGCGAGACCGAGCGGGGTGACGTAAGCAGCCAGGAAGCATAAAGGCGCATCCGGCAAGCACGCATGTTTGCTTTTGCTCTTCAGCGAGCGCGTCTGTGGTGTGTGTGTGAATGTATGCAAAGCACTCAGTCAGTAAAAAAAAGTTAAGCGAGAAAAAAAGAATGCCAAAGACTAAATCAAAAAAGAATGTGGCGAGCAGACGACGTTTCAAGTCGTGTGTTCCTCCTTGCCCACGTTATATATCGGGTGAATATACACACGATTTGTGCGTCATCTGTTTGGGAGCGGAGCATGCACGGGCAGCTCTCGAGGGGGCTGCCTGCCATGATTGTGAGCTTCTCCCGCTCCGTGTGCTTCGCTCCCGCCTGGCCGTCTTCGATGAAAGCGGCCAGGCTCGCGATCCTGCTGGGTCCGGCCCCGCTGTTGCTGAGGCACAGCGGCGGCTGTTATCGTGGGGATCGCAAGTGGCGATATCGTCGCCTTGATTGCACAGAGACAATTTAAACTGAACTGAGCTGGATGATGACATCACTGAATTCAATGATGAACTGTCTCCCTCGATCGCTCTGCTCCCGGGAGTTCTGGAGAGATTTCGCCGGGACGGGGTCCGTCTTTTGCTAGTAGCCCCGTTCTGGCCAGCCCGAGTATGGTTCTCGGACCTGGTGTCCCTCCTCGACGGCTCAAGGTATTACAAAAACAAGTTAAGAAGGATCTTAAATTGGCAAGGCTTAATTACAAGGATAAAGTGGAGTATATGTTTAATACTGGAAATTCTCATTCTGCATGGGAGGGGGTGAAGTCCATGATGGGGATGCATTCTAAAAAAAGTAATATTTCTTTTGACGGGAAGCTTGACTTTGATCTTGCCAATGATTTGAATGTTTTCTATAATCGTTTTAATGTTCATAATTTTAGTCAGGAATTGGCAGCTTTTAAAAATGCTTCCTTCGAGCAAGATAGCGTAAATGTTGATAGGGATACAGTCTTAAAACTTTTCCGGGGTGTTAAAGAGAGGAAAAGTCCAGGCCCTGATGGTATTGGAGGTCGTATTATTAAAAATTGTGCAGAACAATTGGCAGATATTTTCTGTTTCATTTTTAGTATGTCACTGCACCTTCATAAGGTTCCTCGTCTCTGGAAGGAATCTACTATTGTACCTGTGCCTAAAAATAATGTACCACAATGTTTAAATGAGTACAGGCCAGTAGCACTTACCTCTTTGATTATGAAAACATTTGAGAAGGTTGTGAAGGATAAGCTTTTGACCATGGTACAGAAAAATTTAGATCCGTTTCAGTTTGCCTACAGGTCTGGTAGGGGGGTTGATGATGCGATAAGTACTATATTAAACATGATTTTAGCACATCTTGAGGGTGTAAAGACTTTTGTGCGATTAGTTTTTGTTAAATAGGGTTTATAATATTGATTCCGGGCTGATATGTTGGCTGATGGATTTTTTAACTGATAGGTCTCAACGTGTGAAAGTAAATGTGGTTTTATCTGATGTACTTTTTTCTTCGACTGGGTCACCGCAAGGATGTGTTCTTTCACCTCTTTTATTTGTGCTTTATACTAATGAGTGTCAAACGCAACTAGAGAGGCGTCATATCATCAAGTTTGTGGATGATTCAGTGATTGTTTCCCTTTTAAATAGTGAAGATCTTGATCATGGTCCTGTACTGGCAGATTTTATTGATTGGTGTAAATTGTCCTTTCTGGATATAAATGTACTTAAAACTAAAGAGATGATTATAGATTTTAGGAAGAATCCTACAGTCATCTCTCCTGTGGTCATTAATGCTCATGTTGTTGAGGTTGTACATCAATTTAAATACCTTGGTACTGTAATAGATGAAAAGTTGACCTTTGAGGCTCATGTGGATGCTGTATGTAAAAAAGCCCACCAGCGTATGTTCTACCTGCGGAAGCTTTGCAGTTTTAAGGTGGACAGTACATTCATGAAGATGTTTTACTCTTGTTGTATTGAATCTGTCATTACTTTCTCATTTGTGTGTTGGTATGGGTCACTAAACGTTAAAAATAGAAACAGATTGCAGGGTATTGTTAAAGTGTGTGGTAAGATTGTTGGCACCACTTTAAATGATTTGAACGACTTGTATAAGGCTAGGACTTTGAAGAAGGCTGAGTTAATTATGAATGATCCCAGCCATCCCTTGCAGAATGTTTTTAAGTTGCTTCCTTCTACTCGCAGATATTATTTGCCTTTATGTAGGACCAATAGATTTAAAAATTATTTTATACCAGCTGCCATTGGCTTTTTAAATTATAAATAATTTTATGTATATTATAAACGGAAGTCATTGTTTTTGTCTGTGTTGTGGTTGCTTGTTTGTTGTTTGCATATGATTTACTGTTGGCTGTAAAACAAATTGCCCTTCGGGGATAATAAAGTTGACCTTGACCTTGACCTTGAATCAACCTGGTTTTGTTTGTCTTCTTCTTCTTTTTATCTGAATAAATACAAAGGCTAAATATATATATATATATGAATAAATATGAATGCAAAAATGTTACCATTCATTTCAGATTTAATTTGGTGATATGAAATATATTAATGAAATGTATTAATGATTTTCAGTATTTCAAGTGAACTGATTTACCTTAAAAGGCTTTCGTTTATGAATCAAGGATTTGGCTAATTAGTCAAGTCAAGTCATGTCAGGCAGATAACTTTAGTCAACTACTTAATGTCTAGTAGATTATACAGTTATACAGAATATGTATCCTGCCTATAGCTCTCTAGTATGAATCTGCATTAGGTTTAGCACTAGGTTTAGCAGATATATTTATCTGACACGTCCTGTAACAATGTACTTTAATGAGCCAGCTGCATGCTTGTTTTGGGAAACTGACATGAATCCATTGTTGTATAAAGTACAATGTAAGTTATGATTATCTGAATATGATTCACAACGATACCAGGAAACCTGGCCATTATCTGTTGTCTATAACAATATAATTACAACCCCCATCCCACCCCCCCACCCCTTAAAATAATGAAAGTTTTGTATAATGTAACTTTGAGCTAGATTTTAGTCTTGTGCATGGCACTACTATTTACTAGTATAGCAGGCTACTAGTTATCTAAATTCAGATGTAATATTATATTGAATACTGGATCCCTTTTCCCTGATGAACATCGGGCTCCTTGTCGTCGTGTAA